GCCCCCTAAAGATACTTCACACGCTCCAGATCTCAGCTGTGTGACTTCCAACGTCTGCGGGGCCCCGTGACCACGTCGCCCCCCAATCCTGACACGTCCTCGCTGGCTCCCCCTTCCCCAGCACACTCAGCTCCAGCCCCGCAGCCCCGAATCCCCCCCAGTTCCCCTCTGATCGCCCCCTGTGTGCCCGGCTGAGGCACATCTTGTAGCGCCCCCTGGCAGGTGGGGGCGTCTCGGGGCACGAGCTTTCAGAGCCCCACTGCACAGCGAGGGGGCTCAGTCCCCGAGGGCTCTCTTACAGCGCTCAGACCTAGACTGCGGGCCGATCCCTTTAGTCTGGCTTAACATTAACATTTATCTTTTCTTTTTTGCCAAAGTTCCAATCTCTCTTTCCTGTTCCTTTCGTTCTGTGGAGTGTTATTTTGATTTTTACCCTGTAAGGTGCCTCGGACGCTGCTGGTACGCTCGGGTGTCGCGGTAAATCTTTGTGACGAGAATGTGAGAGGGCTTGAATCGCGGTCTCTGGGCTTTACCCTCTAATGCCGGTTCACAGGAGTTGTCTGATGTCTTAAAGGGGGGCGTTGTGCCTCCGAGCTGTGGGGAACCATCTCCGAGCTGCCTGCCTGTCTGTCTCTCTCCACTAGGGGGCGCTGAACCTCCACGACCCGGACGCGGCAGTGCAGCGTCTCCTACGGCAGCCCGTCGCGGTGCGCAGTCCGGACCGCAGGGTGATCGTCGTCCTGCACTGCGAGTTCTCCTCCGAGAGGGCGCCCAGGATGTAAGCTCCGCTCCGAGCTGCGGCCGGCGCAACCCAGAACCCTCCACGTAGCCCCCTCGTTCGGGCCGAGCCCTCGCTTCGTTAAGACTTACTGACGGAGTCCCAGCAGGAACGCCCCCTGTGGGGGAATGGTCCGGTCCATTTTCCTGTGGTGTGCAGAGCAGGACTCCTCCACTTTCAGCCCCCCCGGGGGGGGGGTAGATCGGCGCTGGCCATTAAGAGCGCTAGTCTTCAAACGCATTGCTCCGTCCGCCGCTGAACACAGCCTCCCTCCTGCTGCGTTTTGCTGCGGTTTAGGGGCTTTGTACTTCCACTAATTGCACAGGCAGCCGGTCCAGGTCTGCATGTGCAGTAAATCAGTAAATTAGCACTCCTCCGCCACGTCTGTTACAAAGAGCTGGAAAGAAGAAAGCAGCAGCCCTTGTCAGAGTGGGATCGTTATAAATTCTAGCTGAACGAGCTGGGGAGCAGAACGATGATGAGAATTGGGGGATGGGGGGGTGGAGGAAAAGCCTTTGAAAACAGTTTTGTAATGAGATCTTCCCTCTCCCCTTGTCCTGTGGCTCTTCTCCTTTTTACTTTCTCTCTTCCCCCTGTCCACTCCATTCAATTCCACAAGCCTTATTGGCATGACTGATCTGTCTCTGTATCTGTCTCTGCTTTGCCCTCCTGGGAGTACAGCCTGTCCTCTCTGGACAGTCAGGTCTGTCTGTGTCCA